ACTCAAAAAGCGCTTGTGCATAAACATGAAAAGCTGCAAATACAAAATGGCCCTCAAATAAAAAAATTTCTGCCAAGAAACCTCAAACCGCTAAACAGGCGACAGCACTAACACACACAAAAAAAGCTGTAGATCCACACAGCTGCGCGATCCGGAGTGCCTGTTGGACGTATTTGCACGAGGGCTGTGCTTTGGCACATTGCTGTCTTTTATTATTAAGCATAGGATACAGGTTATGCCTTATGGAGGACGGCATGGAGGATAGGGACATGACATAAGTAACAAAGTACAATAAATAAGAAATAAATTAAATAAAGGGATACAACAAATACAAGAATTAAATAAATATGCAAAAAAACTGAAATAAATGTGGAAATAAATATAGGGAATAGAAAAACAGAAGGAACATTTTAAATAAATAATGTATCACAATAATACATTAGTATTATTATAATTATACATCTTTGAATGTATTTTCTACATTTAGTTTTCACTAACATAAATATATTTATACTTTTTGTATGTGTTTCACACAAACGTTGTTGTTGTTGGTAAGCCTTGTGGATTACAACAACATTTATAAGCAACATGTACTTTCAATTGTTTTGAAAGGTCCAACAACTGCACATGTCTTTAACAATATCTTTGAGTTGCTAAAATATTTTATTTAACTTCCTCTGACCAGTCCCATTTTTATTTGGAAGCTTTGTGCCAAGTGTTACATAGTGCAAGGAGAAACACAGTGACTCGTCTTCTCTCTTCAATAAATATTTTAAAAGCTTACAGCACCGGGAATGTCCGGCGTATTCATGTTCTTTATAAACCTTAAAGCCCCGTGAGACAAAAGTACAATTTGTGATATTGGGCTAATTAAATACACTTTGATTTAATTGTATTGTTGTATTTTGCGCAAGTAAGTACATAAGTACACTTCACTCCAGAGCCCTCAAGAGCCTGATATAAATGTTTATTGGTGTAAAAAATGGTGTTGCTATTAAAGGTTTTGCTACTACCTAAAACTCAGCACAAGGAGTGTAAAGGATGGGATTTCTAACAGGTTTGAGATTTTTGATTTTGAAGCTCTTCTCCACTATAGCAGTGACATCACGCACAAATGTAACAAGCAGCACTAGTCTAGGATAAATCAACATGACAACTGCATGGCTGGGATTGAACCCCCACCTTCTGACTCAAAGACAACAGCTCTTCCTCACAGCCACAGCCAAATGATGGGATGTTCAGAAATAACAAATACATTGCCGGAGTGTCCCAATCGAGATAACCGTTTTGTTGTTTGAATGGAGGTTCTTTTTAATGGGAAAAAAACCTGAAGTTTGGTAAAGTTGGATACCGAGGCTTAATTCCATTGTTTCTCAAGGACATATTAAAGAAACCTTATCTAGATGCCCTGGTAGCCTTGTGTTTTATGAACATATGTAAAAAATTGGACTGTCACTTCCTGTGATGAGTTTCAACAAATGTTTTTACAATATCTCCTCTGATAATTCCTCTCCTCCTCATGTCAAAGTGTACAATATAGTTATAATGTCAACAGACATGTACAAGGTAAAAATACCATTGGACAGATTATAAAGCTTGAAGGTAGAAGCTTTTAATGTAAGATAACGTTAGAATGTAAGGTAACAGTAAGAGATTAATGCAATATGTGTGTGTGACTTAAGGGTGTAAATGAATATCTTCCAACCTGAGGGTCAGTGGTTCAACTCCCAGCATGCTCTATTGGTTTGTTATTTTACCTCACTGAGCTGCCAGGGAAGAACTCATGCAAGTTCTTTCAAAATAATAGCTCTCGCAAACTCTCGTAAAAACGTTTGTAATTGTGTTGTAAAAAACGGAAAATGGTAGAAAGATATTTAGGCTTAATTTCAGTTTTTTCGAAAGGACATATTCAGGTAAGCAAGTCCCATAATCCTAATATACGAGCCGAGCCTAGCCAGTAAAATGTTGATGAAATACATCTGGGTGTATTTGGCACAAGGAGTAAATGGATACCTACCAATGTGGGGGTCAGTGGTTCAAATTCCCAACATGTGAGAGGCAAAACGGCAAACTCCATTGCATATCTTATGGAAATAAAGAGGCTGTGGTAATTGAAGTCAACCAAATATAAAATAAAACTGAAGTTAGGTAAAGTTAGAAAAATAATGAGGCTTCATTTCAGTTTTTTCTATGATCATTACCTTTATAAAAATAATATATTTCGATTTAAAATGGACTTCTATGTGAATTGTACTCTGTTGACATGAGGCCTACTCATTGAGCCTACTGCCGCACCACGATATTGATTGCGTTTTTGCCAATCCCCTACTATCAGCCCGTCGTAGCTCGCCGTGATCGTATAGTGGTTAGTACTCTGCGTTGTGGCCGCAGCAACCCCGGTTCGAATCCGGGTCACGGCATTGCGGTAACAATGTCACGGCAGATGGGTTGACTTTTAAAAGATACAATGTGAATGTAATAAAGCAATGTCTATAAGCAATTGTATTATGACACATTTTCAGTTTTTATCTTTCCATGACATTTCTCAATATTGTTATTTCCCCTTTGGCAAAGATTTTAATATAAAATTACTTTAATGTGTTCAATGCAGGCTCAGGGATGGACCCAACTCATCTATATAAATCTACAGATTAGTATGTTAAGGGGGGCAAGAAAATCAGCGACTGGACTGTATGGTGGTGACATACCTGCAGGTGAAGAGACAATTAATGTATTTTAAATTTTTTGGAGGAAATATGCTTTGGTTTCACTACAGTCCACAGAATTGGATACAAAGGCAAGAAAGGTAGTAAGGCTGAAAGTTCATTACCCTGCTAATATGGAGGTACAATGTGAAGGGTCCTGCACTTTTGAGAGAGAAAGAGATTAAAAACTGGTTTGGGGCACATGGAATATAAATAACACCATGGAGGAATAAGGTGATTCATAAGTGTAAATCAGACTCTAAATAAAGATGGTAAGGCTGACCCTGAAAATATAACTATCACCAAGAGGTCGAATCACATCTTTGGAAGGATTGTATCTACATTGCATTAGACAGGTCCACATTTTCCCATGGTGCCACTCAAATAGTCCTTAATCAATAAACATACATATATATATTGGCTTATAACTCATCAACCACCAATGTAATATCAGTTAGCAACTTAATGTAATTCCGGTCAACTATGCCAAAGATTGTATGCCTAGATTACATTTACCTGGATGATAGGATCAACGGTAGTGTTCCCAGCGCCATATAGACTGAGATTCTATCTATATGGCGCTGAGTGTTCCAAATGTTTATATTAAGGACTTTGACAGCAACAAGTACTAGGAAAGTAACCTTAACACGTTTTAGTGTGTGCGCTGGCAGGCCAATGTTTGTTCCCAAAGTCTAAGTTTTTGACAGTGTAGCCAACACAAATAAACACACTAGAGTGAGTTTAATGTCAATCTCTTTTAACCCTGCAATAGCCAGCCAACTCCAGCAGAGGGCAGTGATGGGGGTGCAGAGGGGAAACAGAGTCTGCATTTCTTTAGTAGAAAAAGAGTTTAGAGAGAAAGCAGGTGGGTAATTTCAGCTGGTGGACAGAGAAAGTTTCAGCAGAGTTTATGCTTGTTACTGTATGGCTGATATTTCCTGACAACAAACGTCCAACAAGGGTGGAGAAGATTTGAGCTGGAGTATTGTTTTCCTTTCTCATTTACATTGTTGTGTGTTCAAAAAAAGAGACTGCTTGTTTGGAGATCCACTTCAACAGGATGACTATTTCACCAGAATAACACTTCATCCATTCATCCCTCCCATCTACAGAAAGGCTGATCAAAACCACACACTATCTAAACAAAACCACACTACCGGGGCAGATGAACATTTACTGTTTCATTTTGTGTTTCCAGAGCTTCAAATTGTTTGTTTGGTTAATTTCTCTTCAACTTGAGTCAGTGGAAGGACACTGGGACTCAATCATTTGTCTGTTCACTGTTAAATAAACTATACTATCCTACTCAAGTAAAGAACAAGTCTCTCAAAATTGTATTTCAATATCGTATTTGAGTAAATCTACTTAGTTACTGCACAGTGCACACCACTGCGACTGACCAATGTTTAACTTGTGAAACTGAAGCCTCTTGCTGTGTTATTATTCCCACCATGTGTCTGCAGTATGGTCTGCAGTCACGACGAACTGTAGCCTATCGGAATTTCGGCTCCACTCGTTACCTCTGAAGGCAGCCTCTCAGCCATTGCTATGATTGGCGGACGGACCTGCCACTCATCACTTGTCCCGCCCCGCAGCATTAGCGCGGCATGGCAACGGCGAAGGGGGAGCAGGTACCTACGGTTAGGGGCTCCAGTCTAACCGGACCACAGAGAGTGCAGCAGCAGCCGCAGAAGCAGCACTATTTCCCGCCTCACTGACTGGAGAACAGCGCTGATAAGAGGATGCTCCACCGCCACCGCCGCTCCGCTCCCTCGCTCACCAGGTGTTGGACTAAACAGGGACGTCGTTAACAGCAGCAGATCTTGTATGCATGTGCTGTGTCTCCCTGGTCCCGTACACAGACGATCGAGAAGATGCTGAGCCGACTAATGAGCAGCAGCATCAGGAGTCTGGACCGGGAATGCAACTGCACTGTGAGGCTGCTGGACGACTCGGAGTACACCTGCACGATCCAGGTCAGTGGGGGCCAACATTTGCTCTTTTTTCAAATCACCTTGTGGAGGACGTGCTATTGACACGTAAACTGGGCGGTGATCAGGTGAACATGATTCCCCTCCAAGCTCATCTTTCCCATTTCTTAGTCTGCTGCAAAGGATGTGTCATCATACCTTAACTCCATTCACCGTCACAGAACATGTATTTGATTGATGATATGTGTGTATGGCCAGACGTGTGGTGTGTCTGTCATCAATGGGCTGCAGGCGTTGCTTTCGTCACAGCCCATACCTGTGTGGACAGCATGATGTCCATTGCGTAGCAAAATCAAGGAGGTTCAATTTGCACTATTTTGAAATCCAACAGAAGACACACAAAACACAGAATCTCTCTTTAAGCTTTTGTCATCAGCAGCTTGCATGCATTGATTTGAATGCATTATGAAACAAATCTGTATAATCTGATCAGGAACGATTTCAGTGGATGGATCAGAGAGGATTTATGGCTGCATGAGGCGGCAGGAGGATGAGAGGCTGTTGTTCTATAACCTCTAGTCTATAGGTTTAATGTTGTTTAGATTCTAATTAGTCTAACAGAGGCTGGGCAATGGACACATCTTAATTTGTTTTAACAAAGCAGATATTATTTCCCCTGATGTTCATTTGCCCTTCAGGCTGACCCTGGGTTTTAAAACCATGGAGAATTCGATTGCTATGCTTTTTGGACCCCAGCACGAAGCCAATGGGAATAATGATCTGAAAACCTCTGTTACTTAGTGATCAAGTAAAGGCATGGAAAGCTTCTTTTCATGAAGATGTGAGCCAGTTGCAAAGGCCAATGCTGTGGGCTCCTCATTTTTTAGGATTCCTTGTTTTCACTTTGTGGTTATTTGTTCGAGCTGTAACAGCAGTCCATCAATAGTTTTTATTTATTGTTGATACAGACGTAACGAGGCATTGCTTCTACTTTGCAGTGACTCCTGAGACTGTAGTTTTTAGTGCTGTACTAAGGAAGAACAAAAGGGGAATTTCTGTTTACTTGGTGTAGATTATTTATTTTGTCTTTCATGTACTTTGGTAGTAACGCTTGAATCTGCACATTGGATTAGGCAGTCAGTCAATCAGTCTCTTACCCAATGTGTCACTTGCAGACTTGTTTGAATCATTTCTCTTTATTTCTTGTGCTTCTTGAGTCTTAAAAATCAATGTATTGACACAAATGAAGGTGAGGCATGACTGGAGTCAGTAAACAGTTTATAAGCGAGAGCAGAGGAGTAGGAGCAAGTGATTAACGTCTGTGACTTCCTTTGTAAATCTTGTGTGTGTGCGTCTTTCAAAGTCTTTGGCGCAGCTGCATCATTGAGGAGTCTGTGTGCATCACCTTACCTGGTCCTTTGAGTTGCTGGAGCTGCGTTTGAAGGGATTCCATTACTGCTGAATTAGAGATGACAACACACAAAGACCATCCCCACCTGTTCATTTCTTAGATCTGACAGCAAAGGCAAAGCAAGCCGTTTCAACTTCTAACAGCCTAAAGTGGCAGTGCTCGAGGGACACGTACAAAATGGTGATTTTATGCCGGTCTCTGGTCCCTGCTTGTCCTCATCTGTTACTAAATAATACCTGTTGCCAACTGGTTGTGCTAGCGACTGGCCCTGCACCGCTTGGGGTAAACTTTGTGTCAATACATTTTTGAGAGAAAAATCGAAATCTTTTGGTTTTAATTTTAATATTCTACTAAATAATTACTTATGTATTCTTCTGATGGCAGGGCGAGACATGTTTTTTTTCATGAGTGGTGTTTACCAAAGTAAAGCCCGCACTGGTTCCTAATTGACTTTTAGAAGCCCTTTCACCCAGTCGTTATTCAAAGTGTTTTGACTGTCTGTGCTGATCCCACCCTTTTAGCAACTAAAAGCACACAGCAGGGACTGAATGCTTAATTTCTAGTTCAGCTTCTTTTGAGATGGATAAGCCCACATGCTGTATTTCATTATTTCCCATGATGGATATATATGCCATTATTTCACACCATAGGGGTCTTGATGATGCACATTTGGTCTAAATGAAAACATAAATAGGATCATGGGCTTAATCAATTGTGTATTGTTAACAACAACAACAACGTCACCATTTCTTTCTGGCATTATGATGTGAGAGCAAACATTTAGGGAGTAGTATTAATTAGGTTTTACACAAATCGTCTGCCAGGCTAAATAAGCTCAGTTGAACAGTAATTCTTCATTTGCATGATAAAGGACATCATAGTGACCTTACCGGAGCATGACTACAGTGTTGGCTCGCTGAAAAATGGGAGCGGATGTCAGCTGTCCTTCCCTGCACACCTTGGAGATATGGCCTAGAATGGAGGTCCCTCGTGGGGAAACAACAGTGACACTCTCCATTTAGCTCAATTAGCCTACAAGTTGCGCTGCTATTGTTAATCTAAAGTCCTATCATAGTGGAATAATGGTTGATATGACCTTCATAATGGAAAAAGCTGTGAACGCAGCGTGGAGTGGCAGAAAATAAAAAATGTGAAGACTAGTCTGGATGTTTTAACATGTACAAAAGGGCCCCAGACTAATGCCTTTGCCCATTAGACTGTCAGGCTTCTCTGCCACCCTCCTCAAATTCCAACACCACTTATGTATCACACCCATATTGTGTGCCTGTCCTCCACTCCTCCTGATGACATTGTTACTGATAACATCATGACCCTGGAAGCATAGGATAGACTCATGTTTATTGATTTCTCTTGTCCTTTCACCACCATTCATTCCTTCAGGATATTCACCAGGCTTCTCACGGTCGCAATACTTGGATTGGTGGGGGAAACGTTGGAAGGGGCTGCAATTATAGCGCTCAATTATACCTATAGAAGCTTTAGAGAAGTCACCAGCAAAGAAATATAAGCTCAGGAGAGACAGGATCAGAAGCGTTACTGTGTTTAGCCACGTGGTGTTAGCGGTGATCACCAGCACAAAGGCCCATGAATAATAATGATTTATACAATTATTTAAACCAGGATTTTAAAGATACAATGGATGGAGATGCTAGGCGTGGCAACAATCAGAGTTGTGATATGGAAAAGCCTTCCTTGATTAAAATCAGACTTAATACGGGCTGCTATTTTTTCTTCTTCATCATCATAATCATCCATGTTGCCAACTCCTATATCTCGTTTTTGGCCAGCACGGTGGAAAGGATGAAGCTTTCATAAAGGTGATGAAATGTTTTGACATCAAATCCCATTAAAAGACAAAACCAGCATTTAATTGAGCCTACAAACAGCTATAGTCTGTGTTGGCAAAGCCTGATATATTTTATCTGTGTGCATAGAACGCCGTTATGGTCTAAAACCCGGAAGAGAGTGCTGGTGTATCTCCAGGAGGGATTAGTTGGAGGAGATCAGGCTATAGCGATAATGAGAGTTTTACAGAATTGTGTGATTATTGTATAGTTCTGTGGGGTTTACTGCATTTATGCCCCTCAACTCTTTAAATGAATTACCATCTTGCTATCTTTTGTTCTGGACACTTTTTTACAGTGTAGGTTAGTCCAATCCCCATAGAGCACTGTAATGAAAGAAACGCACAAATACAGGGATCATTTAGATGTATCTTTTGTTTGGTTTGTTATACCCTGGATGGCTTTGAATTATCATAGAGATTGATTAAACAGCAACGATCTGCCATTGTTAATCAGCAGCATCGCTTGAGACAACACAGAAGAGCAGAATAAACACTCCAAGGTCCCAGATAGTTAGTTTTAATGAGTTTATTATAGTCAAATGCAAGCTATGACATTCAGAATCAACATCCATAGCATGAACTTTACAATCATACACTTGATACCTTTTTTTATTGAGTAAACATAAACACTGTTTACCATCAGGGTAAACATCAGAGGCAGACACAGTGGGGCATTTGCTCTAAATTAATATTCCTACCATGAACCATTGTATGTGTATCAGAGATTGAAAGTAAGATGAATGATGGGAAATCATTGATCCAGAGAGACATAGCTCATCACTGAGTGGTTCAGTCACCTGGCACCAACTCAGATCCTGCAGAGTCCACTAATGAAATGAAGGCCAGTCTTTTGAAGCCAAATGCACGACTTGGAAGGAGCTCGTCTGGTATTGTGTTGTGAATGCATTATTGAAATATATTGCTCTTGTCTCCTAAGTGGTCTCTGCACTCATATTGTTTTCTTCTCTGCCTGCACTGCTCAAATTGGAATAGAGGATGTACCTCATTGTGTGTTGATACATGTTTGGGTCTGCTCAGCTGTTGCCTTTCGCTTCCTAACTAAAATAATGATACTGGGCATTGTACCACTAAATTAGACATAGGTTTCCAAACTAGACCTCGGCCAAATAACAACAAGCAAAGGCTTTTTATATAAGAACCATGAATGTCTGTACAATGTCACGGCAATCCATCCAAATGTTGCTGATATATTTAAGTTTAGACCACAGTGGCTGACCGGCATTGCAATCCATAGTGAAGTGCGATGATAGGGCTAATCTTGACTATTGCTTTTTTGCATTTTCTGGGAAAAGTAAAACATTCAGGCTCTTCTTACGAGCATTTGTTAATATTTATGGCATTTATTACATTATATTCTAACCGTGAACGTCAAACGAATAAATAATCAAAAGCTCACTCATTATGACACCTTAAGGAAATTTACTGACAGCCAAAGTTTTCAGATTGGAACAAATTAGACTTTCGGATACATTGGATGTTGCATGCATGAATCATCTCACTTCACTTAGAAACTGCTGTCAAATTGCCTTTGATCGCGATTCTCAGCCTCAGCTCCTGTGGATCTGCTCAGCAGCTGCTAACAGAAACCGCTTGAGTTGGGAACCTCCTAGATAGAGGCTAAAGGAGCTTAATGTGAAATATGATAAAGTTTTCGGTCTGTATTTTTAGACATGTTGATAGTAACTTCATTGTTGAGTCCCCTGGCAGCCTCCCTCACACCACAGCTAGGAAATGCCTCGCGTAGCA